GCGGGCGCAGGCCGAGCTGGAGAAGCGCGTGGACAGCCTGCTGGACGAGCTGGCCTTCCTCAAGAAGGTGCACGAGGAGGAGCTGGCCGAGCTGCAGGCGCAGATCCAGTACGCGCACCTCTCCGTGGAGATGGACGTGTCGGCCAAGCCCGACCTGTCCGCGGCGCTGCGCGACATCCGCGCGCAGTACGAGAAGCTGGCGGCGCGCAACATGCAGAACGCCGAGGAGTGGTTCCGCAGCCGCTTCACGGTGCTCAGCGAGAGCGCCGCCAAGAACACGGACGCCGTGCGCGCCGCCAAGGACGAGGTGTCCGAGAGCCGCCGCCTGCTCAAGGCCAAGACGCTGGAGATCGAGGCCACCCGCGGCATGAACGAGGCGCTGGAGAAGCAGCTGCAGGAGCTCGAGGAGAAGCAGAGCGCCGACATCTCCGCGCTGCAGGTGAGCGGGCGCGCTGAGCGCGGCGCTGGTTCCTGCCGCACCGCCTCTGCTCAACGCACGCGTTTATGGTGCGGGGGGCACGGACCACAGCGTGAAATACATGGTTTGTGTGTGCGTATGAAATACGCCTGCACACTTCACTATACTGTTTTATATCTATTTATATGGGGCACTTTAAAGGGTGCCCTTGAGCTAACACCTCGAAAAGCGTAAAGGGAAGGAGTGCAAATGAGCTAAAGCTACATGAAGCCATAAACAAACTGCAAGGATGCGTCAGCCCTTGACTGTCAGAAAACTCGAGTTGCTTAGGCTCTTAATGTTAATTAGAAACAGATAATGGGCGTCAGGTGGGGGCTGCGGCGGAGGTGGGCTCTGATGAGGGGGGTCTGGTTATATCTGAGGGTGGAGCGGGAGGGCTTTGGTCCCTGTCTCTGCCAGAGCAAGGTTAAATTATCAGGATGGGCGACTCGTCTTGCAAAGGGCTGTTGCTAGACATGGGAGAATTTTATGTTCTCAATATTGTTACTTCCAACAGGATACCATCAACAAACTGGAGAACGAGTTGAGGACCACGAAGAGTGAAATGGCTCGGTACTTAAAGGAATACCAGGATCTGCTCAACGTGAAAATGGCCCTGGACATTGAAATTGCAGCATATAGGTATGGTGGCAGTGGTGAGATTAAGTAAATTGAAGCTTGGATCAGATTTCCCCTTTCTCAGTTGAAAGAATTCCTCCATTTTTCATTCCTCCAGCAAAAAGCTTCATAGATAGGCAGGTGTCAGTCTTGCCCTTTTTGTTTCCTTCTTATCAGAAGCAGCAAAGCTTTTGAGGCAAAATATTACTTTGTACTGTGCAGCAAACGAATCAATATAATCTGCATGTATATGAAAATAATACTTCATCATTAGAATCTTTTAAGTATCATCCTGCATACTGAAAAATTGTTTGTGTCAGGAGAACATCTAAATACTGTGTGGTAGGGTTTTTTTGTTATCTGTTTCTGACTCTCAGAAGCAAGCTCCCCCAAAGCAATTGCTTTACAGCAGAACTCGAACCTTTGTCGCAGTATGTGTATTATCCACTTTTTACATCTGTGTAGTTCTCTGCAAGACTGCAGGCTCATAAAATGCTTCTGTATCTTCATCTGCTCTGATAACCTAATCCCAAAGATGTTTCCCCCTCTTATTTCTCCTTACAGAGGTAAGTGTAAGTTCCCCAGCACATACATCTTGAACTTTGTTTAAATCCTCCCAGGATGTTGGGATAGTACTGCCATACAGGTATGCAAACACTGTCCCATGATGAGTAAGAAAATGTGCAGTCTCCAGGAGAATAAAGACCCTGCTTTACCCTGCTCAGAGTAGGCTGGGACCACACCTATGCTTGCTGAGCACTGGGGCAGCATAGCTTAAAACAATCCTGGTTGTTTCTTCCTCTAGGAAGCTACTGGAGGGTGAAGAGACCCGACTCAGCTTCACTAGTGTTGGCAGCATCACCAGTGGCTACACCCAGAGCGCCCCCAGTTTTGGCAGGTCTGCGTACAGCGGCCTCCAGACCAGCTCCTACCTGATGACGACCCGCACCTTCCCCACGTACTACTCCAGTCATGTCCAGGAAGAACAGATTGAAATAGAGGAAACAATTGAGGCTGCTAAAGCAGGAGAAGCCAAAGCAGCTGCCCCTGCAGAAGAAGGGGAGGAGGAGGAGAAGGAGGAAGGTGAGGAAGAAGCAGGAGGTGAAGAGGCTGAAGAGGAGGAGGAAGGTACTTAAAGCTACTTGTAAATCCCTCTCTTCCACACTTTACCCTACACAAGCAGGGTAAACACCACAAAACTGACTTGGTCTAGTGCTTAGATCTCTCTTGAGCTCAGCTCATGTGAGCAAGAGACTGTGGGATTAAGCCCATGGCATTTGAACAGGAAAGTGAATATAGAAGAGGTAAATATTAGGCAGACTGTAGAACTGATTATACACCCCTGGAAATCACTGAGAGGTTTTCAAAAATTTCCCAAGATAAAAATAAGTATTTCAAAAGTGCATACTGCTAAATGTGTATTGTATTTAAAGAGCCCTTAGCTATTAGGGGTATCCTTGAAAGGAGAAACTGGAACATCCTGAACTAAATACCAATTCCCAGAGATGCCTGGCACAATTAGAACATCATCTGATGGCTGAGGGTGTAGCTGTAGCTGAACTTGGTTCAGTGAGTTACACTGCTTGAGGTCAGGGTAGTTATTTTCTTGCAATCTTTGACACAGCCATAGTTCCTTGCTGCCCTGTGACTACTTGCCCTACTCACATTTTAATGGAAATGTTCAGGGTTGCTTTTTTCTAGGTTCAGTTGTATAACTGAAGAAGGAATGTTATCTGAACATACTTGAAATGCATTGGTTAACATTTGGCATTTTTATAAGCTTGTTAGCATGAAATTTAGTTTTAGCCAAAAGATTGTTAGTTAAAGATTCAGTCTGAAGTTCACAGGAAGAAATGACAAGATTCTTCTTGAACCCTTTGGATAAGGCCTAAAGCAGGAGTCCACAATCGACTGTTTTCCAAAGTCAGGATATTCAGGAGACCTATACCATGAAGGTAACTTTTTCCCCCTGAAATATCTGATAAGCTGACTGTTAGTTTTCTCCCTTAAAAGTCCTAGATAAAACATGTACCCTGCTTTCCTGCAGAAATGTTAGCCCATCAACCTGCCATCCCAAAGTGTGTGGAGGTGAAGGATGCAGGTGCACTTACCCCTGTGAAAGTGTGTTTAGGAGATGGTTCTAAGCACTGTGGTGAATATTTGTAAACTCTCTTTCCAAGGTGCCAAGGAAGAATCAGAAGAAGCCAAAGAGGGTGAGGAAGAAGAAGGAGGAGAAGAGGAAGAAACAGCAGCTGAAGAAGGAGAGGAGTCCCAAGAAACTGCTGAGGAAGCTGGTGAGGAAGAGAAGGAAGAGAAACAAGCAGCAGGAAAGGAAGAGAGTGAAGTGAAGAAGAAGGCTTGATTTAGATGGTTCACTTTTCTCATCAAGTTAACAGAGTAACTGATAATTGACTGAGCTAAAATTGCAGTCCCACATATTTAATTGTGACCACTGAAGTTTAATGTTCTATGATGTTTCTCTCCATGCAGAGTATCAGTTTGCTTGCAGAGCGCCCACTGGCTTGCTCCCTGAATGCTGCATGGTCTACACGTATGATTTCAGGAGCTGTCCCACTTGGGTCATTCAGAATCTTTAACTTAAAAAAATCCAAAAAAAAAGGAAAAAAGTAATGGGAATGAAAGTTGTCTTAACTTGTATTTAAAATAATTATGGAAACTTTGGGTGGGTAAAATAATGGAGGCTTCAATAAGTATGTGCAATAAAGCTAGTCAATAAAGAAATGCTTAAACAAAATCCTCGTGTTGTCACTGTTTAATTACAGGTTACATGGTATATCAATGTGTGCAATTAGAGCAAATACTCATCTGCTGACCCTGTGCACCAAGACATGAGGCACTGGTGTCTTCCAGGCTCATATACAAGAGGCTGAAATGCAGAATCCAGGCTCATACGCAGGAGGTTAACATGCAGAATGGCATAGTATTTCTTATTATGCATATGAATATACAGTGTCCACAGGGCAATTTGACAGTAGTAAAAAGACTGTGGTTGGACTCTGCTGTTGGTGGTGTGCCAGATGTGACTGCGCTGCTGTATACCCACAAAGACAGGATCTCTGATTAATTAAACATATAGTGTTTAAGTAAGTGCTGGTACAGAAACCAAATCAATGCTGTCAAATAGAAGGACACAAAACTAATGTAAAAAGGGGTATTAAGTTAACAGGGGCTGTTGACATTACCAACAAGAGTAGTCAGTGATTGAAAGGGAAGATGCATTGAGTGAGGTTTGGAGCAGCTCCGTTAAAAAATATAATAGAAGGGTGGTATGAGGTGAGGTAGTGGAGGGAAGGGGAGAGGGGGAGTCCCCCTGCTATGCCCATGCAATGTGTCTGTCCTTGCATTGCACTGTCTTAATGCTTGGACTGCTATGGACCACAGAGATGTGCTCTGTTGAGAACTTAAAAGAGCATTTTAAGCTTTTGAGGGTTGACTAAGAATCAGGTATAAAACTGGAACAGCTCAAAGGGCTGCAAGAGCAGCAAAGCCTGAGAGCAGTTCTGAAGGCAGTGCCAATGTCCTGCAACCCGAGCCTGTTTTCCATAGATCGGAGTCAGCGTGTGCTGTTAGGTGGTATACTGAGGGCAAGGGTGAGGTGAACAACTGGGGAAAAAATGCTGTATTTTAAGTCACTCTAAACAAGCTGAACTTGAAAAAGACAGGTTTAAACAGGAACGTTCTCTTATCAAATTTAGTTGGCTGAATTTTGCCTAAGAATTTGGGGTGTTCTTAAATTTGTGCATTGATTTTGTGGGATTGGTTGATTTGTGTTAGCTCTCCTTGATGGCCCCATGTAGACAGAAAGAAAATGACGCCTTTTTACATAGTCCCTGTAATACTTCCTAATGCTTTTTTTCACCCTTTTTGTATTTTTGATGCTTTTGAGAACTGGAAGGCAAGCAAGTTAAAATTAGTTTTCCTTTATTTTCAACAGCAGGTCTTCTGCTGACAGGTTCCTTTCAATCTTTTGCTGTTCTGCTCTCAACAGAGATTTTTCTACGTGTGTTTCTGTGCAGACGTCTCCTTACAAAGCTGTTTTGTCTCCCTGCTCAAAGCAGTGGCCGGCAGCGTGTGGTACCTGCAGCACGATGGACGAGGGACTCACAGGCTATTTGCTCAACGCTTTTAAACGTTACCATTTGGAATACAGGAGACCTGCACCTTTTGGTAGGTAATAGCCCTAGTTAAACACAAAACACAAAACGTTATTTACAGCAGAGCATTGAGCGTAAGAGAGGAGACTTGGGGTTCTACTTAAGTGCCCTATCAAAAATGCTTGTCATTACAGTTCAGTGGGAAGAGAGGATCTGATCCTGCAGAGCAAAACACACTAGTTATGCAATAAATTGGGACTCATCACATATATTAAAGCCAAATCACTGTGAAATAGATTGGTATTTTTCAATCCACTGCCCATATTATGCCTTTTCTGCAAGCTCTACGAGCTCCTTGTAACTTCCCTGCTTGACTATATCTGGGTCTGCTTCCTTTTTCATGTTCTTTCCTATAGATAAATTGCTCCTTCACTCAGTCCTTTGCATCCAGTTCTCCTCTGGGGAAAGAATACAGCTAAATCAGGTCATACCTCACTGCAGCTTTGCAGAGCTTTGCGATCAGGCTGCTAGGGACACCCTCACAAAGTGGGTGCCCGGAGACTCACCAGCTTTGCGGTCAGGCTGCTAGGGACACCCTCACAGCAGCGCAGGGACAAAGTGGGTGCCCGGAGACTCACCAGCAAACAGATTCATCCCTGCAGTGCATCTCAGTCTGAGCCTCACTCCTTGTCTTTTTTCTTTTTTTTTATGTATTGCAGCTTGAGAAAAGATTTCTCTCGACTCTGCAGGCAATGTGTGAGTCACAGTGACTCAGTGTCAGGGAGCTGCAGAGCAGGAGTCGCAGGGGCTGCCCAGCCTGGCTCGCTGCTCCCAGCCTTGCCCACTCGCCAAGGTAAACGGGTGGGAGGGAGGGTGGACGTGTGTGTTTGCAGCCCAGATGCTCCTGGGGTTGCAGAGATCCTGCAGGCAGCACTTGTTTTACCTTTGGAAACCAAGGACCGCACTTTGACGCAATGCAGTAAAAGCAGGCAGAGGGAGACAGGATAGAAACTTTCCCTTGCTTTAATCCAAGTTGCAGCTGCAAGTGGAGCAGCAAGGCTGCCCCGAGTTTTCTTGTGCCACTTAAATAGACAGAGTCTGACACAGGCAAAATCTTATCACAGGAAGGACAAACACTAAAGTGTCCCTAAATACTTTTTTTTCTGAGATAACACAGACCCATCATGTACATACACACACACTTAAGCATGTTCCTCTCCTGTGAGGCAAAAGTATTGTACAAATATAACATTGATTCTAGGAATTTACTTTCCAGTAGCTAAATAATTTGCAATTCATCATTTGCTGCCTTCCGAGGTTAATGAAGAGTAATTTAATCCTGAACTGAAAAGGAAAAAAAAAAAGCCTGCAAATGAATGGGAAAAACACAAACCCTGATATGTGGAGAAAATTCTAGTGCCTGACTCAGCACTCTGACAAATGTTCTGTATAATGTGTTTAATAATACTTCACATTATGTCTCCACCTGGATTTTAATCCTGGAATGCTGAAAATCTTTTAATCATAACTCTCCAACAACCTGCAATGGTACAAAACTCTGGTTTTAGAGCTCCTTGGGTCCTGAAGTCCCTGGGGGTCTTGATGGCCCACCTTAAATCAGATGTATAAATACTCATAGATCACTTTTTTAATTATTACTTTTTCCTTCACTGTCTTTTGTGTCGATTAATGAACTTTTCTGGTGTTTGAAAGTAATTAATTCCTTCAGTGGTTATGCAGAGTCAAGAAGTAATTGGTGCAGAACAGGCAAATAGCATAATATTTATGACTCTGTGCCCTGAAATTACACTATCTTCTGAAACAGTTTGAATGCAGATGTCAGCAGACAAAACCTCTTGGCAAAATTAAATATTAATCAGATCTTGTCGTTTTATAAATATTTAGAAATGTGTTAACCTGTTAATTATTTCTCTCAGGGTTTGCTAGAAACATTTGCAGTGGGAAATAGACTAACTTATTTTGTATGTTAGATCATACAGAGAAAAATGCAGACATAGATAATAACTGAAGGCTGAAGTATGTTTTGGGCGGAAAAAGCTTGGGAAGAATAAGAATATTTTGAAGTCTATACCATGTGAATGGATAGTCCATGAGCTGCACTGACAATAAGTGTGACTGGGCTAGTTAACATCTTATTCCTAAGTATATCATTATGTTTATGTCCATATACACACGTAAACTTCACCAATAAGCTGGCCACAGAGATGCTGTTTAATTTGTTAACGCCACTTTAATTAAATGTCACTCAACTTGCAAGCTGTTGAGCACAGATTTCCATTACTGATATCAACAGCAGAAGCATTCATTACTTTGCTACACAAAGGCATTAGATTTATCTGAAAGGCTTATCTGCTGTGAACTCATTGCACGTTCTCCAGTGGGGAACTTACATAAACCTTGCAATAAAAAACTCTTTGATTTTCAATTATTGATAGGATGAAGAATTGGAAGGCATATGCAAGTCACAGATTTTGATCAGACCTTCAGTTAGTCAACAGATTTCAGGGTAATTTGCATGCCTAGTGCAGGCTGCTGAAAGTGGGATTTGCATTTTTTCTCTATTTATGGTATTTAAGGCTGTGTCCTTTCTTTTCTGTCCTTTTAAAATGCAATAGAAATAAATACGAGTCCCGTAACATAAGATGTATAGGGCTGAAGTCTCAGGATGCAGAAAAAGCCGATAGTCTGCTGACATAAACAGGGGTATGCAGAGCTTTTTTTTTTTTTTGAGTCTTTTTATATGTATTAATTAAACAAGGTCTTGACAGCACATGGATTTGATTTCCAATAACCTTGAAACTTTATGTAAGCGTTTGAGTAGACAAGGATAAATATTGCTGGTGTGACATGTGTGTTTAAATTCCACCCAGCTGGTTGGGGGGGAACCTTCTTTTTCCCTTTAATTTGTCTCTTATTTGTTTAGTTTTTTTCATGTAGGGTGAGTTTCAAAGCACACTCTAAGAAGCCTTGTTCTTAGTAACACCAAGTTGTTAAGTGGCAGCAGACACAGGCCAACACTCAGAAGGCCTGAAAATTCCAAACTTTTTTCTCTTTCTACAGAAAAGGAAAAAATGCTTTCATTTGATTTAATGTAGGAATCATTCAGGTATAATCTGAACCCTACTGAGTCTAAGTTTAGACACCAGAGTTATTTTTAGATGGAAAAAAAAAGGATTATATTTTTTATTTTCTCAGTATCATCTTTGGGACAGTTTCCCTTTTTCCAGGACCTTATTTGGAAACAGTGTGTGTGGATCATTTGAGACAAGTGTGTTGATGAGAAGGATTTCACCTTATGTAATTAAGACAGGACTAAATCATAGTCACCATACTCTGATGAACATGAGGTGTTTTTGTTGAAATGACTTAATAGGTCTCTTTATTTAAGAGATGGTTGTCACAAAGGACACCATGAGCACTACGAGCTGCATAAGCCTCCTGTAACTTTATGCATATCAAATCCAACTCCA